ATAGATGAAGAACTAGAACCAGAAATTCCAAATGGATTTGCTGACGAACAAGGAGAAGGAGGGATACCTGGTATCAATGTACAAAATGGGGTTGCGATACTGGTAAATGGCGCGGAAGGTGCAGAGATGGATGTTGATAGTAATAAGCAAGTGATCGTAGAAAAAGAGAGGGTTACAACCCCTTACATGACAAAGTACGAAAAAGCACGAATATTGGGAACAAGAGCTTTACAAATAAGGTAAGATTAAATTTAAAAAATTTTAAATTCTGATTTATTTACGCATAATCTTCTTTTATATATAAAGTATGAATGCTCCAATTCTCGTTCCACGTGAGAACGAAACGGATCCTCTTGAGATAGCTAAAAAAGAGCTTCGATTTAAAAAAATTCCTTTGATGATACGAAGATACTTACCGGATGGAAGTTATGAAGATTGGAATGTCAGAGAATTGACCATTCCTGAAGATGAAGATTATAGTAATACTTAATATTGTGAACATTTGTGTTAAAGAATTAAATCTCAAAATTATAATTTGTAGATAGTTTTTAAAACTTTGTATATCTATTTCTGAATAATTAATAAAACAATATAATACGAACTTTAACTAAAATAAATTTTATTAATCCCACAAACTTGATTATTCTAATTATATTATTTATATGATTATTTTACGTTTTTACCTACAAAGGTGAATACTTTGATATAAATCTAAATTTCTTTTAAAAAACATCATTCTTTTACCAATGTGAATTCTTTTAAAGACATCAAGTTACCAGCATCACTAAATAATCTTTCAGAAGCTGTTGAAGTTAATAAATAATTCATGTAATAATAAGATTATATATAAACAATCAAGTAAGTCAAAAGATTTGCATTTAAAGATCCAATGATACTAAATCCATTTTTTAAGATTGGGTTACAACAAGGTTTCATATACCTTTTTTTTTTAACAAATCATCTGTATTTACTAATATATTGATTTTAATATGATAACTTTATTCTTAAATTATTTTTATTAGAATTATTTCAATTCTTTTTTACTTTTATTTTGGTATATCATTTATATTTTAATCTTATAATAATTATATAATATAAAATTATTAAAAAAAGTAAATAACGATAGATTACATTAAATAAAACTTCTTTAAAATAATTTTAAAATTTATAAAAATTCTTTAATTAAATCCTATTTTAACTTAATAAGATTTATATTTTATAATTTTATTCATTCTTTTTTACATTTGATAATTTAATATTGAATTTAATTTGCATTAATCTAAATTATGATAAATTCTACTTTATTGATAATGTATATTAATTATATTATATATATTATATATAATATATATAATATATTATATTAAATAATTTAAATTTTTATTTTAGTTAATATAAACTATACTTAT